AGTGCTTGCAAAGTGCAATGTTGAATGTTCTATTTCGCTTGAAATTGGCACTGTGGAACGTCAGGCTTCAAGATTAAAACATTGCCAACAACCCTGCAATAGTTTTCAGCAAAAAAAATCCCTAAAGCAATTGGTAAAACAGTGGATCTCAAAGAAACTCATACCTGAGCCAAGCACGGCATAGAATCCCAATGAAACACACCGTTTCCTGTTGCTCCGCTACATTAAACTCGCAATCTGAGTAAAGGTCCCACAATCACCCCACAAAAGGTCCCACAAACACTCATCCATCCTTTGCTACATTTTCACCCACAACATATACAGTCAATTGACTGTACAGTATATACTGTGATGCGCTTTGAGACATCTTGAAGACAGGATAAGGCACTATATAAAATGCAAGGATTATTATTATTACTAAATTTCACCAAAAGCATTTAAAAAAAATCAAAATCACTTTTATGCAAGTTTTTTTGTCGTTGTGTCAGTTCCCATTTTGCCGTTGACTGAATCGTTCAAAAATCACATGTCTACAATTTACTGCCAAGTTACTATTAGGGATCATATTTCAGGAAAGCTAATTGGAAACATAACACAACAGGACTGATCCCCTTCTGAGCTTTCTCTCCTGATGTGAGCACAAAAATGAGGTGGTAATTGGTTGTATTTAAATATTATCCCCCAGCCTTCAAACCCTTTCCTGTATCAAAATGTATTTCTTCACTGAGAGACAAACAATAAGCCTGTTCCTAGATCAACCACTGTCTGCACCGTCAAACATTCTTCAGGAGGCAGAATGCTGCACATCTGAAATAAAAACAGAAGTCGCGAGGAACACTCACCAGGTCATGCAGCAGCTGTGGAGAAAGGAAAGTGAGTTAACGTTTCAGGTCGCTTCCCCTAAGGTCATCGACCAGAAACGTTAACTCACTTTCCTCCCTCCATAGATGCTGCCTGACCTGCTGCGGGTTCCCGGCGAATTCGGTTTTGATTCTTCAGGATTCGCTCAATATAGGCTTCTCTCCCTCTCCATCTCTGGGTGAAGCATCTGACCTTTCGCTCAGTGCCTCCCCTTACATGACCAACCTGACTCAGATAAGTCCCTTTGTGTAGAGGTCTGATCGATATCAAGTGTTCCTTTTTTTGTAATATTAAAGAAGAGCTGGAATCGAGACTGGCTCTTTACAAAGATTGAAAAAATTATCTTTTATAAAGATATGATTAATGGTCCATGGGCTTTCTCTTGGGAATTTCAAGAGACAACTTCCAAACAGAGTAAGTACTTTTAACAACTTGCGATTGCTGTGTTTATAGTGCAGCGGAGTAAATTGTCAAGTGCCACAGACACCTTCTCATGGATGCCTCTATAGCTGGGCTCTGGCTTGAATCCCTTTGGGAAACCACTTGTATCTAGCTTTTCACATTACTAATCCTTTACAAAGCTAAACTGGTTTGAGGCTTTCCACTTCCAACATTTTGTAACAGTGTTAAACTTTACTTAGAATCGGAATGTTGCACTTAACACAGCAAGGCGAATAAAATGATGGGAGTAAATTAATAAGTGGTTGCTTTTCATTTAATATGTAATGGATAAATTTCCATAGATAATGCACATTTGGACAATGTTCATTGCATTTAAATAGTAATTTTCAGCCTTCCCACCTGCTGTAATTTGCAAAACAACAACTAAACTAATTAGGGTAAATTGGCTTTTGCTGCCAATTTTATCCAAGTCATTAAAATCAGTCTGTGTGCTTCCATCTGAGAGTCACTTGGAATGGGTTTGGCTGTATACCCTGACTGATGCACCCTCTCTTCAAAGAAAGGCTCTGTGGGTCTCGGTAACAGCAAGAACTTGCTCCTTTTTCGACTGAGCAGAGTCAGAGGTGTTAACATTGAATAAGTCATCAGCAGTTCTGTACTTTGCCCCTTCCGGCTAAGTGACTTAGTGACAGACAGAATACCCACCGTCTTTACCAAAACTGTTCACAAACTACGTTCTCCCACAAAACTGCACTTTACAGCATATCTGATAAAGTGCTTTGGGACGTCCTCCTGGCATGGAACCAAATGTAAGGATTATCATTAATGATAAAGTGTAGGTAGATTCAATATTGGTAGAAGGGGAAGGAGCGTCCAGGGCAAGCACTTCCTGTTCACAATACTGCTCCCTAGCTTTAATCAAGAAGTGAATTCTTCTAAACAGATTGCATTTTAATTATAATAATAATCCTTGCATTTGATACAGTGCCTTATCCCGTTGTTGAAATGTTTCAAAGCACTTCACAGAATATACTGCAAAGTGAATTGACTGTATATTTTCTGGGCGAAAGACTTTATCGAGGCACCTGCACATTAGCACTCAGGTACTCTCCTCCTTCGTTGCTCATGTCTTATTATGAAGAGGAATAATATCCCTGACTGCCTATTTATATTGATCAGTGGCAGACGGTGGATGAAAGAGATGCTTTGAGCTGGATTGGCACTTCTCAGTTTACAAAATTACTTTCCGAGGCTCGAGAGGTCGATGGGGAAGAGTGAATGTTTGCCCCAACGCACAAGTGAGGAAAGACCTAATAAATCACTAGCGACAGTACTGAGAGCTTCAGACAGATATTCCTTGGCGTTGACTGCGACCCAGTTTCCGCAGTTGTCACCAAGCATTCGATTTATGCCGCTCATTTTAAATAGGAATTATTGGTACTGTTGGATCAAATCCCAGGGTGTACAAGTTGCGAGAATGAAGAAAGATGTTTGAGTCTTAATCTAGTCTTAAGATTCAAAGGCCAGGAGTAGTTAACAAGTGTCTTCTGAACCTCAGAGCCTGGACTTCAGACTGCACGCACTCATCTAGTATTTATTTGCCAAAAGGCAGGTATGCTGCCTTCACAGATGGGCTCATTCTTTTATTAGAAGTTTATTTCTATTACAGGGCCATGATTCAAAGGTTCATGATGGCAAAAGGGCACAAATGAGATTTATTTCACGGCCATTGATCAGGATTCAGTACACACAGTGTTGATATGTTGAAAGTAAATTTAACATTTTAATATTTTTAACAAGCTGAAAGGGCAATAAGGTTTATAATGGGACATTTATGGCTTAGGCGATGGCTCAGCCAGTTTATTTTGTGAACAGGTGACCCACGGACAGGAAAGGTTTGATCCACAATCTGTTCTGCGTTAGTTGATCTGAGACAGGGCAACACAAGGGACACCAAAATTAGTCTTGGCAACACAAGGCGGGGGAAGAAATCAGCGTGATCCCAATTGTTACTGACTGGCCTCTACTTGAGGTGCTAGTGTGCAGATACCAAATAATAAGGTCAGTTTCATATCAATAATCTGCCGTTAAGGCTCACATATGAAGAATGGCCACTTGGGTCTGAGCAGAGAATCCGCCATAGAAATATCTCCATCCCGCCAGTAGAAGACAAAAAAAGTTAAATGCTTTGAAGAGGGAAAAAATTAACTCCATTTGTTCATTTGTATCATCAGAGATAATAATAATCCTTGCATTTGATATAGCGCCTTATCACGTCTTCGAGATGTCTCAAAGTGCTTCACAGAATATACTGTGAATTGGAGTGACTGTGTGTTTTGTGGGTGAAACGCGACGGCCAACTGCGCAAGCAGTATCCCATAAACAGTCTGGATTGAGTGACCAAATTTAGGAAGATGGCCCAAAAAAGAGTTTGGGAAGAAAAAAATCTTTATCGCAGCTATTTTCTTCGTTGCCCGCTGTAAGGCTCGCACTTCGGTGGGTGACAAAGCAGGGGCATTGCCCACCCAGTCACAGCTTTGCTTGAGATAAAGAGAATAAAGACAAAAAGTAATTCAGGCTGGCTGCTATACTATTCCACTGCAGTTATACCATTGAGCTTATTGTTGCAGTATAACCAGGCGTACACCTATCTCATCTCTCCTCACTGAATGAGCTTTATTAACTGCAATCTATTTTTACTTCACCCTTTCAAAAACTTCCAAAGTAATCAAACTTGGCTGTCTGTAATACAGCCAAGTCCGATGTGAAAAGTAATTACAGCTATTGCTGCCATTACAGTCAAATGACAGCTACATTGGCTTTCATTTCACAAGGTAGCAAGTGGGACAGTATAATATGAAAATCAGCACAAGATGCACTGCCCTTTCAGTTCATCGCGGACTCAAGAGCTTAATCCACTCATGGGAAAAGATTTCAAACACCCGTTAATGCCAACATTTAGCAAAACAACAAACAAATCAATTTGTGTAGCTCCTTACCCTTTGGGAGGACGTCCCAAATCAAAGCAAAACCAAATGAGAACACGTATTATTGAGGTCTCTGAGCAGCCACGCCTGGAGGGAACAACATGGTAAAATCCCTTACAATATAAATGGGTTGATAAATTAATTCTGGAGTACAGTCAAACTTCCCATTTGAGCACGCTAGCATACTGTAAAGATCAGATGAAACCATCGGAAATGGCGACTGCATCCCAGGGCTGCTTCTACCACAATGCACATTCACTCCAATGCTAGTTTGGGTAATGACGTGATAAGTTTGAGAGTGTACCTGTTGACTGCAGACCTGAATCTACTGAACAGGGACAAATACAAAAGCCAGTGTTACCTAATCAACACTAGAAGAGAAAAATCTGACAGTACCTCAGAGCCACACACATATTGAGCACCCTGCAAATAAACTACAACAGTGACCCTTTCTGGACACCGTTTTGCTGTGTTCTTCCAGCCGAGTGACAGACTGAGAAAAAGACCCAACTCGAAAGGCTAGCTTTGTTAGGATCTTTTCAGGAATGTTAATAGCCTGGCACCAGAACAGCCACCGTACCCCTCAAGAGAACTCACCACTGCACTGGCACCAGGACAAGAATAACAACATGCACTTACATAGCGCCCTCCAAGCAGGGTAGAGTCTCAGAGGACAGATAGTGCCCCTCAGAAGTTTCACAAATATACCAATCTGCCAACATGTTTCTAGCAGCCACACATGAGGCTTACCTGCTAAAGCCCTATTGACAGAGGAATGTGTGGCCAAACCAGGCTGTCCTCGCTCGTGGAAGATGCCTGCATAAGGAAGGTACTCTGGCAGCAGAAATCGCCTGCAGAAAGTAAGATAACATTTAGTATTAACCATCGGTTTTGTTCAGTGTGAGTACATACTGCAGGCACTGAAAAAAAAGCTTAAATTGCCAAGGTGGAAACACCAATGAGTGATTTTATAATGTGACCTTATTTGGCAGATCAGATTTACAACGGGTGGAAACAAGGCTTAATTTTTTTACTGTCCCACTTGCTACCTTGTGGGATAGCTGAATTCAAGCAGAATCTCGTGTTCTGTCCTGTGTGTTCATTGATTGAAATCGATCATTCAGTGTCCCCACTCGCCAGTGTACTGGCTGTTCTTGGTCAATGCTAATCCTCACTCTTTATAAATTGTCATTCTGCAAAGTGTTGTGGAGTCCCACATCCCGTAGTGGTCAGAGCGCTCGCCTCGCAAGTGAGAGGACCCATGTTTGATTTCCGGACCGGGACAAAACCTTAGACAAGTTTCCTTACATTGTACACCACTGTTCACACTGTTTACTGTTTGGGTCATTCAATCCAAGACTGTTTGTGGGATACTGCTGTGCGCAATTGGCCACCGCGTTTCAACCATAAAATACACAATCAATTCATTTTACACTATGTTCTGTGAAGCACTTTGAGACATCTTAACGACATAATAGGGCGCTATATCAAATGCAAGGATTATTATTGTTATAATAAGCAAACAAGAGCCACTTGTTTAAGCAAACCTCAGTGGCAAAACAATTAGCAGATTATCTTTATATAACGTTGTTTAATAGAGTACATCCCTTATTAATAACTCATCTTCAAAAGTAAAAGTACTGAACAGCTCTCTCTAATTTGAACACGGTCTCTGCTAAATCAAGGAAATAACATTGCTCCCAGCTCAGTCGTTGATCAGTTTCACATCGTGCATTAGCCCTGAGATCAAAACAACCTGGCAGCCAGATAAAAACACAGGGGCTCAGGTGAGTTATAATTCACAGGAGCAATACACCAAGCCCCTCAAGTCTGCGTTCCTGCCTTGTAACTCACTGCTCCACTCCCCCGGTGGCCCATATTTGATAATTTTTCAATGGATGCATTAGAAATTCCAATTTTAGAAGAATTTTTTTTTGTGCCTGTAGCAGCTGTCCATGTTCCCAAAAGTACAAAGAAGTATTTCTTGCCCTGTATTGCCCAGGGTTTGGTGCCCTCCCGAGCACTCGCGTACTTCCAAGGTTTGGGCAGGCCATGCTGAAATTATCATAAGACACGTTCGTTATACTTAATGATCCAAGGGTTATGCAAGGATATGGGGAAAAAGGGAAAAGTGGGACAGGTTGGGTAGTTCTTCCAAAGAGCCGGCACAGACTCGAAAGGCCGAATGGCCTGCTTCTGTGCTGTAATATTCTATGATTCTCCCGGTTGCTTCACGACACTTTCAACTACTTTTCCCATCAGTTCATGACATTATCCAGACTCGGAATTCAGCCGCTAGGCAGTGAACATGTGGATCCAACTGTTACTTAAGGAATGGATTGGAAAAAGGCAGGGAGTTGGTATCAGAAAGATAGAGGTGACGTGAAATATTATAATAAGGGAGCAGATATGACCTATTCATGTGGATATATTTTGTCAGACTGGGCAGGGCTTTGTGTGTTATTTTGCCTAAGGCTATTCAAACCAGACAGAGTTATACATGTGTAGGCCACCCACACATGGAAATTTATGGAAGGCGTAGTCGGTTGGTCGCAATCAAGAGGTCTTACCGAGGAACGAAACGTCCCAGTGACGGAGCAGTCATTCTCGCATTTCTTGGAGCTCGATGTCGTGATCTCTCACCTCCGTCCCTTCAACACACACACAAAGGAATAAAGAAAAGGAGAATTAGATTCTTGTAACCGGATGTGAATTTTTTTTTACATTTTAGAATTTTAGAATAAATTTTAGAAATATTATCAGATAGAATTACAGATTTGGGGGGAGTGGGGGAAGAAGGGTTTTGAAAATGAACTTGGGAGTTTGAAACGCCTCAAAGCGCTGTACAGCAAGGTCCTGTGATCAGCCATGGTGTGAATGACCAATTTGCCAAGAGGATCATTGGCCAAAGTATCCGCAGAAACTTCATTCTCTTTTCCAAAACCGTCCAGGCTTTAACGTTCATCTGGTCAGGTAGCCAGGACCTCGGTTCATCTCCCGCAAAAAATGCCCTCCTTCCCCAATAATAGAGCAACCTTCCTCCCAACTCTTCTTCCCCCCCCACCGAGCCTGACCCCAGTATTGCACTAGAGTAGCAGCCTAGGCTGTGAGATTAAATCCTAATGTTTGACTTGAGCAGTCAATGGAGAACCGACACTTGGGAAGCACAAGAGGCAAGTTTCATTTTCAGCACAAAATGTTATTGTTCACACCTAATGGTGCATTTAACATCCGCAGAATCAGGCTTGTAAACACACATAAAACCTGAAACAGATTTCAGGTTCAAAACCTGAAAATCTGAATTCTAGACAACGTCAGCTTATCAACAAAACAACACCAGATTTGGTAACCATTTTGATCCGGTGTGAAGCTGACTACCTTAAATTCACTGCTGCAGAGGCTTTAGTTTTGGTGCAACGGAAAAACAAATCCAATAAGACATTTTGGCAGACACTCATCTACCTCTTATGCATATTCAATTAAAATGACAACTGCACAGGGACTTGTAAATTGCCTCGAGATGCATGGAATATGGATGGAAATGTGCTGTTAGGTTAAGGCATCAAGTACAGAGCTTCTCATTGTTCTCATCACTACTGCACGAGGACTCAGCAGTGCGTTCCACACGCTGGGACGAAGATGTTCTTTCTCACACATTAAAGAGGAGAGTAGAGTGGTGGGTGGGAGAGGGAGGACTACATTAAATATCTCCCATCAATTGAGAAACAGAAGAGACAACAGAAGCTCCAAAAAGCAATTCATATAAAGCGGCAAAAATAAATTGTGGGACCCAACTAGAATATGTGCTCAGCCAGCACAGCAGCAGGGATACAACAGCCTGAGACCATTAAAAGTCCCTCCCTCCCCCTTTTCCATCAACCAAGCTGGGAAATCTAAGATGTTAACAATCGATGGAACAAAAATGTACCATACTTGTACCATAATGACAAGATGTCCAATTCACATGGCTTAGGGGCTTTTCTGCAGTATATAATTGTAATGTCAACTGTACAATTAACCTACCTAGCTTCTTCTATCCAGTCTTGCTCCTGAAATTGGCCTCATAACATCACCAGTTTTGGATTGCCTGATCACACCAGCCAGCACTTTAGCTGTTCTCATTTCGAGATGTCCATCACCAGAAACCAGTGCAGTTCCCTTCTGGGAGGCTGGATTGTTTAGCGCATTAATTAAAGTTAAGTTAAAATCCTAGGCACAAAGCTCCTTCTAAAGGTCGACCTCTCCTGGTTGAAATCATATCTCTTCCGGGTCTGAAGTATTCATTATTACAAGCAATATGTCCTGTTCCTGCTCATTCCATACCGTCATTTGCTCTCCGCTGCCTGTTCTCTTACACCTTTCTCTGTTCATTTTACTCTTTAAATTATTAAATATTATCTAAGGGCCAATTACACAGAATGCTATAGTACAGAAACAGGCCATCAAATCCAATTAGTCACGTCCGTCCATGTTAATAGAGCTTCCATCCCTTCAATAATTTTGACTTTAATTAGGTTTCCTTCACTCTTCACACAACAGTCATCAAATTGATTTGAGTTCCAAGCAAACGTTACATTTAAACATGAACCTAAGTTCCCCTTCGGACATGGCGTTTCTAGCATTTCCTGGTACCAACAGCATTTTCTTTGGAGCTCATTACAATAATTTGGATAGTTAATGCTCCATATAGTGTTATACAGTCCAACATCAGATCTTACTTCCAACATACACGCAATGCCCTTCACTGAAGCCGCTCTGCGACACACAGTACGCTGAGGCCACGTTATTTCCAGAACCCCAGAGACAACTACACTGCCAGGGGCTAGCCTTCTACTGCACCATATGGTATCAGATGCTACTTACTGTGACTTTGCTGCTAAAACTGTGAGTAACATTAAATGTGACTCGTGTCAGCTAAAAGCCATTAATCTGCTTTTGACCTGACTCAAATTGGTAGAAACTGAACCCGAGACCTAAGATCACATTGGCAATTTAGGCAATTTCCCAATTGAACTTCTGCAAAGCTCTCCAATTTAAAAGCTGGAAGAACTTTTTTTTTGATATACAAGAAAGGGCAAAAGTCAAGTAAGAGCCTGCAGAAGTATCGATGGCAAAGAGATTTGTATTTAACAAGACGACCTTCTCAAAGTTCCCTTTTTGTAAAGTACTGAAACAGGGAAGGGGGGGGGGGTAAGAGAGAATCTCAAGGATATGAAATCAGATGATATTATAATTAATCCCATTAGTGGCTCTAGTATAACATTTTGCCCACAAAATATATAGTCAATACCCTTTACAATATATTCTGTGAAGCACTTTGAGACGTCTTGAAGACGTGATAAGGCGCTATATCAAATATTATTATTATAACTCCGTGGATAAAGCAACTAATGACATCAAGAGCAATTGGCGCACACACTAACTCCTATATTCACTGCAAAGTTAACAGGGAGGATGAAAGAGATTCCCCCTTGCAGGAGAGGGTTATTGGAACGCAGAATGCCTCACCACCAGTGGTGAAAGCCACTAAGACCGTAGCAACATTTTAATGATACTTTGTCAAGCATCTGTCATGGCTGCACGGAAAGAGAAGGGGATAGGGATTAGGGCAGATTGGTCCAGGGAACAAGCCAGAGCCAGTAGAGGTTCGATGGACCGAATGACATATTTCTGCTGAAATTGTGTGATTTTTATCACCTAATTTAAAAAAAAGCTCGACTGAAAAACTAAAGAAAAATGCCTAAAAACCTCCTCTTTGACTGTGATTACAGTTACTTATCTCTTCCCCCTTCGGTTCACCCACAAAATATTCAATCCACTTTGCACTATATCCTGTGAAGCGCTTTGAGACATCTCAATGACTTGATGAGCCGCTATATCAAAAGCAAGGATTATCTACAATCATTATCTTCCCTCAGGGTAGACTCCATCTTTGTGAAGTGCTCCAAGGTGATATCCTTCGCAAGGGGCACTATATAAATGCAAGTTGTACAGCGCCTTGGGACGTCCTCCCGACATGAAAGGTGCTATACAAATTTAACTGTTGTTATTGTTAATTTGTACTGCAGAACATTATCTATCATGAGAGGGTAGATTACAGTAGATATTTGATTGGGTCTAGTCATCTTTTAGTGCTCGCTGGTGATGATTTCCAAGCCATCTTTGCATAACTGGCTTGTGGGAAAGGGGATTTCAGTATGAATTCTCCCCAAACAGAAGTAGTGTGAAATCCGCACGGTCCAGTAAACTCATTAAAAAGATTCATTCTGAAATAAAATACACACACCCATTGCAGCAAAGAGCACACTTCAGAGAAAAAGAAAACTTTAAAAAAATGGATACAGCAATTATTTCAGCAGCGCTGTCAATATGGGCAGAATTGATGGTGCTCAAGTTTTTCCACTTCAAGGCTTTCAACCAATTAGCAAGGCAAATCAATAATGAAAAACACATGGTCCTCTGCACTGCATAGCACGGATGATTTCATTTTTAAACGAACCATATGCTTTTGGATCCTGAAAGGAAGAGAGAAGGGAGAAGTGCAAATATACTGGAAGGGACACACTCGCGGCTGAAAGGTAATCGCGGAGGATGATTAAATAAAGCCAGCAATCGTGGTAAATGGCTGCCTGTCATTAATGAGTTGCTTTTCTTGTTTTGTATCCTCTCTAGTTAATGCACGCACCTGGTGAGATAATCAATGCAACTTATACAAATAATGTGTGTACACAGACACACACACAGACCCTTATCCCAATGTGACACAAGCTCTCCTAAGCTTTCAGAAGTCATCAACTTAAGAATTCAAGAGGAGAACTGAATTAGAGGGAGTGGGAGGGGGGTTGTTGTTATAAATTTTCCAGCTAATTTGCGACTGCCTAAACAATATACAAAAGTATTGGAGAAACAGGATAATGTGAGAGAGTGCAGAATGTACTGTGGAAGGGTATTTGCAAATGACGTGCTGGTCAGTACTGGTGAAAAGCAATATATAAAATAAAGCCAGTGAAATATGATTTGTAGTTTAACAAAGTCAAGAGTCCACTTAGATTCCCTGGTCTAATATTCTAAATTACAAAGTTAATGAATATTCCAAGTAAGGCTCAGAAAAGCTATTGCTGAGCCACTTTCTACTATTTCGCCACTTGTAAAGTTACAAAACTAATTATTAACATATTAAAATTCAAATTCAGAGTCTTGCACCCGTGTTTCATTAGCTATAAGTTGTGAAGTCCTGTAGCTCAGTAGTTAGAGCACTCGCTTTGCAAGTGAGAGACCTGAGTTCAATTCCAGGCAGAGGGCGAAACCTTGGGCAAGTTTCCTTACTCCACACAGAGCCTAATAATAATCCCTCCAAAACAAAAACAATAATAAATTGGTCATTTTCAATCTACGACTGTTTGTGGGACATTGCTGTGCGCAATTGGCTGCTGCGTTCGCCCACAAATGTACAGTCAATTCGCTTCAGTGTGTTCTGTGAAGCGCTTTGGGACATCCTCCCGACGTGAAAACCTATAGCAAATGCAAGATTTATTATTATTATTATTATTATTATTATCCCGGGCTGCCTGCTGAAAACCAACCACGTCGAAATATCAAGTAGAAAACAGAACAAATTTAGCATTGGGTGAGAATAAAATGTTAAATGTTT